GCCCCCAGGTTGCAGAACCAAGACGCGCACCACCTCCTTTTCCCAGCTGCAGGGCTGTTGGCCAGGGTCCGTGATTTTCGTGCGCCCGAGGGCTTGGGACACTTGAGAAAGTTGGCTCTCGAAGCGCGCCTTTGACCCCCCACCTCGATGGACGTGCGCTTTCTTTGCGCTTGCGGCCCTGCGCCGCGATCTTGTCCAGGTTGGTGGGGCTGCCGCTGGACGAGTCGGTCTCCCTCCAGCCACTTGTTGAGCAGCGGCTTGAGCTTGCACATGTTCTTGAAGCTCAGCTGCAGGGCCTCGAAGCGGCAGATGGTGGTCTGTGAGAACACGTTACCGTACAGCGTGCCCAGCGCCAGCCCCACGTCGGCCTGCGTGAAGCCCAGCTTGATGCGCCGCTGCTTGAACTGCTTGGCGAACTGCTCCAGGTCGTCGGAGCTGGGCGCGTCCTCGTCCGAGTGCTCGCCCACCGACGAGCCGCCGCCTCCCGCGCCCGGGTGCAGGTGCGCCGCCGCCGCCGCGTGCAGGCCTCCGGCGTGTGCATGTCCGTGTGCGTGTCCGTGGGCACCCAGGTGCGGTGGAGGCGACGGCTCCAGCTGCGCCTCGTGGCCGTCCTCATGCAGCGCGTGGTGCAGGCCCGGTCCCGCGCCACCGCCGCCCGCCGCCAGCATCCCGGCCAGGCCGCTGCCGCCGCCCCCCGGGTAGGCCGCTTGAGCGTACAGCCCGAGCGGCTGAGGCTGGTGGCCCCCGCCGGCCCCTGGCGACGGCGACATAGCCGGGCCCAAGTGGTGCGCCGTGCCGCCCTGAGCCCATGCCGCGCCCGCGTGGGCCGCCCCCTGGTGCACCAGGCGTGCGTGGAAACCGCCGCCGCCACCGTCGTCGGCTCGACCGGTGCCGCCGCCGCCTGCCTTGCCGTGTTCCAGGTGCGGACCGCCAGCCCAGTCGCCGCCGCCGCCTCCTCCCGTCGGTAGCCACTGGGGGTGCGCTAGGCCCACGGGGTGGCCCGCGCCCGCGCCCAGCCACTCGTGGTGCATCAGCTTCTGCACTTCGCGGTACGCGGCCCCCGCGTGCAGCCGCTC